ATATTCTTTGGTGTTGGAATGGCCACTTTGGCAAGATACCCCCACACTCGTAAGTATTTATAAGAAAACTGTCTTCCTTTCCATAACTCGTAAGGGGTATTTTCCATTTTCTTTCGGGGTACCTTATTTAAAAGGTAATTTGCCGATAACACAGCTTCCCACGACATGTTCTGAGGTAATCCAAAACTTACTAGCATTGCATTCATCATTTCCTTTAAAGTACGATTTTTTTGTTTAGCAACACCGTTTTGTTGTGGTGAATAAAGGTGCGGTAGTTTCATGTATGATTCCATGTTGTGCACAGAATTTTCAAATGGTGCTTCATACTCACCACCTCGATTGCTTCTTGATACCTTAATTTTCTTATTAAGTTGAGTTTCAATTTCACTCTTATAAAGAACAAATTTCTCTATAGCTTCATCTTTACTTTTTAGCAAATACACATAACAGTATTTGATGCTATGATCGACAAAAGTGATGAAATACTTGTTGCCACCTCTTGTTTGTACGAGTTTTAAATCACATACGTCACTGTGAATTAAATCAAGTGATTCTGTATTCCGTTCAATTTATTTAAACGATGACCTTGTCAATTTTGTCTCAACACAAGTTTCATACTTATGTTTTGAATCAATGTCGAACTCGGGCAGACAATTCAAGTTAACTAGTCTTCGTAAAGTATCATAGTTAATATGTTATAGTCTACCATGCCACAAATCGGAAGACTCAAGCAAATAAGCAAAAAAATTTACTTTATTCATTTTTTGTTTAACAACCATTACATTAGTTTAAACATACCATAGAAAACATATCATTTTCTGACAAACATTCCACTTTTTGACAAAATAACTTTGTCTAACTCAAATACAATGCGAAGCCATGCTTATTCAAAAGCGACCCGGATACTAAGTTCTTGGGAATTTCCAGCACATAGCACATTGTTGAGAGTCAGCTCTTTTCCCGAGGTCATCTTCAGATCCACCTTTCCTTGACCTTTGATTTCAGAAGTTGCTGAATTTCCCATAAACAACTTCTTCCCATTCTCAATTGCTTCAAACGCAGCAAACAACTCCTTATTAGAGCACACATGCTCGTAGCACCGGTGTCAATCCACCACTCCTTAGAGTTTGAACTCACTATGTTCATTTCAAAAATGACAGTAGAGAGATTTAGCTCTGACATATCTTGTGCCATGTAATCAACAACATTTGCTTCTTTCTTCTTCTTTGGCAATCTGCACTCCCAAGACTTGTGGCTTACTTTGTCACAATTGAAACATTTTCCTTGAAATTTATTCTTAAAAATTTCACATTTCGGTCCTTGCTTGGTCCTTTTGCCTGGTCCTTTTGCCATCGGATGGCCCAGACTTGTTTTTATCGTTCTTACTACTTTGACCATGCTCCACAACGTTAGCTTCAACAGCACCAGGATTGAACCACTTCTTATCGGAACTCTTGTTGTCTTCTTCAATTTGAAATCTAATAATTAGTTCTTCGACGTTCATCTTCTTTCGCTTGTGCTTCAAATAATTTTTGAAGTCTTTTCATGCGGGGGGCAATTTTTCAATAATTGCAACCACTTGAAAAAATTCACTCAAAATCATCCATTCGACATGAATTTCGTGAAGAATCACTTGGAGTTCTTGCACTTGACTGATAACAGTTTTGGAGTCCACCATTTTATAGTCTAGGAATCTGTCGACAATGAATTTTTTAGCCCTAGCATCCTCAGTTTTATATTTTCTGTTCACAGATTCCCACAGTTTCTTAGCAGTTTTTATAGTACTATACACATTGTATAGCGTGTCTACTAAACTGTTCATAATATAGTTTCGGCATAGAAAATCCAAATAGTTCCTAGCATCAATTGCACTGATGGCTTGAACATCTCCCTCACCTTCATTGAGTTTTAGAGTAGTCTCAGTCAAGAATCTCGCAAAATTCAAAGTGATCAGATAAAATAACATTTTGCCACCTTTTGAAATTCAAGCCATTGAATTTCTCCGATTTTTCTCCATGATTAACCGGAATATTAACGGTATGACCAATTGTTAGAGCCACAGTTTGACTTATGATTTGGCAATTTAGTCACAGTCTGAGCCACAACAGAGCTTGGCCCTTGAGCCACAACTGAGTCCATTGCCTAATTTTCAGTAGGCACAGTTTAGGTCACATCCAGGTTAGTCGATTCGGTTTCCATTTCTGAAAATCAAACAAAAAAATTAGTTTCCAAAAATTAACAGTATAATAAACCAATTTTTTCTTTAGGAATCTGTTTTAAGTCTGTTGGTAAATTTAATTGGTAGTGTATGGAGTGGAATCAGGTTCTCATATACCGTATATGTGATTTAGACACTGAATTCACGCTTATCGTATTTGGCAATTGCTTACCGTATTTGGCAGTTCAATTCACCGTATATGGCAGCTTATTGTATATGCCAATTATTTCACTGTATTTGGCAACTTACCGTATATGTCAAGCAGCCCACCATGTTTGGCAATGACATAACAACAGAATTTGTAGAAACTTTATGATAACTTAAACAACACAGATTTTGGACAAACTGTTTGTTTTCATAAAATAATTTAAATAACACAGAATTTGAATTTCCATAAATACGGTTTCATAGCCTGGTTCGTATATACAAAATATTATCTAAATTGTGAGAATTAAAACAAATTAAACTACTTGAATAAGTACAGCAATTATATTATTTGCAGAAACACAAACGTAATATAAATTCCATAAAATAGAGATTTAAACTGAAAGTTAAATAAATCTGGAAAGCATGGAAATCTACAAATAAATTTTTAACCCGAGGCCTGGTTAATCACAATTTCCTTAAAACAGATTCGCCCTCTCACCATAAGTGTTTGAGGTCTAATTCGAGCGTATGTTTTCTAGGATAGAACGACAAAATCAGTAGAATCTGAGTACTACAGAAACTATTTCGACGAACTGATTTAGCGTCTAAACAATATCACCACTACCACGACTTCACTGGACAGAAAGAAGACGACGACCGAATTTGGAAATTTTTTGTGCAGAGAAAATTTCATGTTTTTTGGTGAGATTTTTCATATATTTAATTGCTGGAAAACTTGAGATTTAATATAGCATAAATCTGTCATTAACTCTATGGCAATTAACATTGGAGTCACTTCAATTTTTGAGAGTTTTGGAAGTTTCAAAAACTCAAAAGTCGGTGGAGAAAGCAAGAAAAAAAATTGCAAAACGTGGTCTTTCCGAAAGGTTCAATTTTTGCTCCATTTGCCCGATATTCGTGTACACAGGTCACGCCCACACACAAGTTCAAAGTTCGAAAGCAATTTCGGTGCGAGATTTGCACCCGTGTGCACACATGTGAAGAGAGCCTCTATGCTACACACGATTACACCATTCCAAAGTGTAATTCTATATAAAGTGGTTCTTGCTTTCATATTTTTCCTATGTGGGGCTAACTTCAATTTTTTTCCCACATAACCATCTTCCAATGGTCATTTTTGAGCTTCAATTTCTCATTCATCCAAGTTTTATTTTTGGCAAATAAATATATGATTTTGATCCTCTCACGAAGGAAAACACGGATCAACTTTGATATTCCAAATTGGACCAACATGTCCCACCGAAAATTTTGTCAAAAGTGAGCTATTACTCATTTTTTCCAACAATTCTCAATATTAAAGAAAATATTATTTGCATACACTAGTGCAATCCTATTGATCTGTGGCATCCTGATCATCTTACATCTTTTTGCCAGTATGTAACCTCATTGTGGTGGACAAATTGAACGTAAGCAAATTCTACTAAAATTACTCGATATAAAAAATGTGTTCTTTCTTGAGTTAGACTCTGCAAATTCATGTCCCGTCTACATCTTTGGAGACATAGTCCTTGCATTGGCGGATCTAGAGGGGGACTGGGCTGTGCTACAGCCCGTCCCCCAGCCCAATTTGTAACTTAAAAAAAAAAAGATTATTTTAGTATATTATTATTTTATTATTAATTTTTTTTAAAAAAATTGTGTATTAACTCGTCTTAAAATTTTTCGTTGACTCCTTGCTTCTTCTTCTTCTTCTTTTTTTTTTTTTTAACGAGGTGTCCCAACTTGCGCCAGACTATATCCTCGTCCCTGAACTTCCGGCCCCTCGGCAGCTCAGGGAAGTAATCGCGGGATGTACCCTTGTTGGTTTCCAAGTTCCCACACGGCTTTTACTCCTTCCCCAAAGGGAGCCTCTTCACTGCCTTACAACAACTTGCCTTCCAAGATAAATCTTGCCTTCCAAGTTGTGCCTTCCAAGAATCGAACTCCTCACGCTTGGTTCCAGAACCCTCTAATGTGATTGTTCCGCCAAGTTGGATGTGCCCCGGGGGGCTATTGACTCCTTGCTTCTTGGAATTATTAGCATTTGCTATAAGCTTGAGAAGTGCAGAAATGATTAATTGCTAGGCTAAACCCTTTCATACAAAACTTCCTCTTAATCCAAATTATATATATTTAATGCTAAAATGGAAAATTCTAACTCAAACCAAGTTTTGCTGAGTCCAATTTGATCAAATACAAGTCTGAGGCTCGTCACTGATCGACAGTTAAATTTTTAAGTACTGTGTGATCTAATTCATTGTTGGAAATGTAATTTGCATTTATTATCTAGATTCATGAATTATAACTATACATGCATTTCTCCATTAATGTACTAGAGGAGGAGAAACGTATCTATTTAATGTTGGTTCATGAGTTAGGCTATATACATGTTAAATCTTATCTATAAATACCCATGTAACTCAAGCCATTAAAAGTATCGAAGTAACAAAAATTTACAATATAATATCTTCTCTTCTACAATTATAAAAAGTGCAGCAGCACTATATTACATATAATTTCGAGCATTCGATATTCCTTCTTTTTCATTCGGTTTTTAATCAATTCCCAACAAATTTTTGGTATCAGAGCTTAGTTCTCTATACGTATCTCAAATTTTATTTCCCCTCTCCAAAACATGGCAGCAAATCATGTTTCTACATCCATGTTTTCCTATACTCCTAACCAAGTTCCCATATTTGAAGGAGAGCATTTTGATTATTGGAGTAGTCAAATGGAGACACTCTTCATTGCGCAAGATTTGTGGGAAGTTGTTGAAGATGGATTTCCGGAACCTGATGATAATGAAGAAGAAGAAGAAGAATGGACGGAGGCTCAAAAAGATTACAAGAAAAATTTACGGAGAGATGCAAGTGCTCTTAGATTTATACAACAAAGATTAAGTAAGACCATATATCCTCGAATTCACGGTGTCAAAAGAGCCAAGGAAGCTTGGAATATCTTAAATGAGGGATTCCATGGCAATGACAAGGTGACATCTCTAAAGCTTCAATCTCTTTGGAGGGAGTTCGACAATTTATCAAAAAAAGATAATGAAGTTATGCAATTCTATCTAACTCGAGTCTCCGAAATAGTAAATCAAATCAGAAGCCTTGGCGACACAATTGAAGAAAAAAAAGTTGTTCAAAAGGTCCTTCGAAGCCTTCCCGCGAAATATGATTATATTGTTGCCGCTATTGAAGAATCAAAAGATTTGTCTAAATATACTTTTAACGATTTGATGAGTTCCCTGCAAGTACATGAAGAAAGAATTGGCAGGTTCTCAAATCAGCCACTTGAGCTAGCATTTGAGTCCAAAATGAAATTTTATAATTCATATTCTAAACAGTGGCAAGAAGGCAGAGGAGTATCTTCCCAAGGAAGAGGAGGTTCTTTCCAAGGAAGAGGAGAATCATCACGAGGATGAGGAGGATCATTTCGAGGAAGAGGAAAAGGAAGAGCACAAGGCAACCAATCAAAAAACTATGACAAAAATCCAAATCGTCAAGCTGGAAATGCAAATATTTTTTGCAAAATTTGCAGAAAATCAAATCATGAAACGAATGATTGCTTCTACAAATGCAAGAGATGTAGAAATCCTAACCACTCTCAAAGAGATTGTTATTACCAGAACAAAGATGAGAAGGATGATGCAAACTTTTCCAAAGATGAAGATGAACAGCTTTTCTCTTGTATGATGGCTCAATAACAATCAAAAAATGTGTGGTACCTAGACAGCGGCTGCAGCAGTCACATGACTGGAAATAAAAAAAATTTCATTGATCTTGATGAGAATTTCAATTCAGAAGTGGAGCTTGGTGATGGAAAGTTACATCGCACTGAAGGAAAGGGAACTATCGCTGTTCAAACTAAAGGAGGTAACAAAAAGCTCATTGGTGATGTTCTTTATGTGCCTAATTTGACTAGTAACGTCCTTAGTGTTGGACAACTGCTACGCAAAGGATATTCTATTTTTTTTTATGATGAAAAATGTAGAATATTTGACAAGAAAAGCAATTCCACCATCGCCACAGTTCCTATGAGCTCCAATAAGGTGTTTCCCATGAATATGCCTCTTCAAGAAAAGGTGGCCTTCACAGGTAAAAATTTTGATCAATCTCAACTTTGGCATTTGAGATACGGACATCTTAATATCAAAGGACTGCAACTTCTCAAGTAAAAGAATATGGTGATTGGACTCCCAGAAGTTGAAGAAAAAACTCAAGTTTGTGAAGGATGCATATATGGCAAAATGCATCGACTTCCTTTTCCGAAAACGTCTTGGAGAGCTAGAGAACCTTTGGAGGTTATTCATACGGATATTTGGGGTCCTTCGAGGACTCTCTCTCTTAGAAACAAAAGGTATTTCATTTTATTTGTTGATGACTATACAAGGATGATGTGGGTTTATTTTCTAAATGAAAAGTCTGAGGCTTTTTCCGCATTTCTCAAATTCAAAGCTCTAGCGGAAAAACAATCTAGTCATCAAATCAAAACCCTTCGGACAGATCGTGGAGGAGAGTTTATTTACACTCCGTTTATGGAGTATTGCAAAGATAATGGTATTCAGAGGCAGCTCACTATTCGGAGGAGCCCCCAACAAAACGGGGTAGCCGAGCGAAAAAATCGCACCATTGTTGAAATGGCTAGAAGCATGATGATCGACAAAAGTCTACCCAAAATATTTTGGGCGGAAGCGATACACACAACTATTTATATTCTGAATCGATGCCCAACAAAGGCCGTTTGAAACCGAACACCGTTTGAAGCTTGGCACAAGAAAAAGCCCGTAGTTGATCACTTAAAGATTTTTGGCAGCATTGCATATTCTCATATCTCTACTCCAAATAGAGATAAATTTGATGAAAATAGTGAGAAGCTTATTTTCATTGGCTATAGTGATGAGTCAAAAGGTTATCGCCTTTACAATCCTATAACTTGCAAGCTTTTGGTTTCAAGAGATGTTATTTTTGATGAAATGGGATCATGGAGTTGGGAAGGAAATTCGTCCAAATTGATATCTCAAGAAGAGTTCTACGATGCATCAAATTTTGAGGATGAACTTGGTCGTGTTAGTCCACCTCAAAGTCCAAATCCTCGCCCACCAAGATCGCC